GTTGTGGCGCTCATCTCGCTTTATTGGCCGAGGGAGCCAGCGTACAGCTTCCGGGTCATGTGGCCAGCATGACTAAGCCGCTTCTGGCGAACCAGAGCAGCGCACAGAAACGCCGTTTATCTTCCCGCAGGAGTGGTACCTATTTATCTACTTGCACTTTAATGTGCTTTCGAACTGCTAGGTTGGCAGGAGCAGGGACCAAGCAACAGGAGCTCACCCCATCGCAGGGATTCGAACCGCTGACCTTCTGATCTGCAAGTCCTAGGCTCTGTGGTTTAACCCACAGCGCTTTGTTCATTTTCACATAAAAGCACAATGCACATAACATAGCATTGTGACTGGGGCTTATTTTACCCTAGAACTTCTAATTGTATGAATTGTTATATGAATCCCAAGGTCAATCAACATCCTGGATCATATCTACTGTAGAAAATTATGTCCCACAAATCATTTTAACTAGGGTTTAGGGAGGGTGACATGCTAATCCATTCCTGCCAGCTGTGCGATACATCTAGAAAAGCTCACTGTGTGGAATTACCTGCCAAGGAGACTCCTGGATATTCTATAACCTGGATGTTCAACTTGGGAGTCAGGTGCACTGGCAGAAAATGGGAATGAGAATAATTCTTTCGGACATAAAAGACATGCACATAAGCATGATGAGCTACAGGGAACTAGGGCATGCAGCCAAAGCAGAATTGAACTTCACCTCCTCCCCGTCAGCTGTCACCCACCCATTGGAAGAATGTCAGCTGATTGACAGGTGGGCGTGGTTTTTTGGGGTGTGTACCCTCAAGGGCTAAACTGAGACTCCTGGTGGGCCAGGACTGGCATGTGGGATGTTGGTTCCCCATTGCCTAAGCCACAGTGGGGCTCTGGGGTCCAAGAACCCTAAGTCAGATCTTTCAGAACCTGCACTCCTGATGAACCAATCACCTCCACATGGACACATAGGCTGATCTACCAATGTATGTGGTAACACATCTTGAGGGAACTTCTAGGCTCCAAGCCTGGTAGAACAAAAGCCTTAAATCCTCTCTTTGTTGGAGCCACTTGCTCACTTGTAGCACTCCCAGGGGCTGCAACTACCAGCATGAATTGTTCCACCATACTGCATTGGTTCCTTGGTTTAAGGTCAGACAAAAACACCCAGCAAACTTCATGTTGAGTGAGAATTTGAACTTCTGCCTCCTCAGTCTTAGCCTTGCATCCTAGCTTTTCCTTGTACCGTGACATTTATTCTAACAAAATACAAATTAACCTTTCGTTAACTTTTTCTTATGTGGCTACAAACACGAAGTAAAGGAAGTCAGTCAGAAGCCATCAAGTATCAGTTCAGTAGTCCTGTGTGAGTCATTGTATTTAAACTAGCATATCATGAACAGGATTCTAATGAACTTCATTGAAAGAGCAACAGAAGATCAATTAGTTCTGAAATTCCTCAGTTCTTACAGAATGGAACAGAATATTCTGGCACTTCATGACCTGACATTTGTAGTATAAACAGCCATATAACCAAGGCAATGGAATTAAAATGAGACACAATGCCTCACTTTTTTTCCTCTTTAGTTAAATGGAACATAATCTTTGGTGAATTCCCCCACACTCCACACACACACACACATTTTGGGGCAATTTGTTTCAAAGTCTTCCTGTAACAGCCTCTTATCCCTCTGGACATTTTTAATTTCATGTGTTTCCAAGTTAATGCTTTTAAAATAGAATTGTACATGCTGAGGCACATGGATAATAAGACTTGAATTCACTGCACAATAAAGGCAAAGGGAGTAGTGGTGGAATACTCCTGAGGTGCAAACCACTGTGGTGATTGAAATAGTTTCTTTAACTTGCAAGGATTTCTCATTCACTTTAGCATCCTGCATGCAGCCAATGTATGTGCAGAGATGATGCTGGCGTGACAATGAATGGGGAAGAATGTCATGACCCTTTATACAGAAACAGACTTGGAAAAACTCTTACAGATGAGGAGAAGTTTGAAGAAGCCATGCTGGTGGGGGTGAACACACAGGAGGAACTCATGAGAAACTCTTCAACAGGGCTGCCTTCAGGTGTCTTCTAAAAGTCAGATAGTTGTTTATTCCTTTGACATCTGATGGGAGGGCACCACCACCAAGAAGGCCCTCTGCCTGATCCCCTGTAATTTCGCTTCTCGCAGTGAGGGAACCACCAGCAGGCCCTCGGCGCTGGACCTCAATGTCTGGACAGAACGAAGGGGATGTAGATGCTCCTTCAGGGATCAATAAAGGACATCTCACCCCCTATTTATGAATGCCCAGGTGTTTCTTCTGGCGTCCTCAGGTGCATCCTCTACAGCCCCCATCCTATCTTCAATCCCAAGGCCAGCTCTTCACACCTCTTGCCACTGCAGTGTGTGGTCTGGGCTGATGTTGCTTTGATGGAGAGGTGACCATTTAAAGAGAGCTTGGCTTGAGCCATGGCTCCCTTTAGCAGTATTTCAGAGCACAGTAGCCCCCAATAATCTCTGAGCTGGAGAAACAATTAACGCTCTTTTCAGATTTAGCCCTGCACCGTGCTCTCCTGTCCTCTGCCCAAGAAAACCCTGCCTCACCTTGCGAAGCAAGCCCATTAGCGGCTTAGCGCTATTAGCGGCTTAGCGGGCTTAGCGGATCAGCTGATAAGCGGCTTAGCGGATCAGCTGATAAGCGGCTTAGCGGATCAGCTGTTAAGCGGCTTAGTGGATCAGCTGATAAGCGGCTTAGCGGATCAGCTGTTAAGCGGCTTAGCGGATCAGCTGATAAGCGGCTTAGCGGCTTGGGAAAAGGGGGGGGGAACCCTGCAGGAACTCGCAAGACATTTTCATCTTGCGAAGCAAGCCCATAGGAAATTTGTTTTGTGAAGCGCCTCCAAAACGGAAAACCCTTTCGTCTAGCGGGTTTTCCGTCTTGCGAGGCATTCGTCTTGCGGGGCACCACTGTACTTCCTAGGTGAGATTAAAATGAAGGTACTCTCCACTGCTGCAGCAGCAGCTCCTCCGTGGGCACTTTAAAATGTCACGCTTTTGTTGAAAGTTGTAGTTTACAGCCACAGAAGAAATCTGGTTGTTTCCTGCATCTTTCCTTTGTGTTTGATTATGTGACTCATTCAACCGGGTGGCAGCAGCCTTCATCCACTTTCTGACTGTGTTTAAGATTTGTACACACACCAATCTCCTTTACAAATATCTGAGAAGGCCAACACTGTTTGAAAGATCCCTCCAACTCCAAGCTGACATTGGTATGGGGATGAAGCAGAGCCTTCCTAGTTATTGCCCCAATCATTTAGAAGATAACTTAGAACCTGATACAGATAGGTAGCCGTGTTGGTCTGCCATAGTCAAAACAAAAAAAATTCCTTCCAGTAGCACCTTAAAGACCAACTAAGTTAGTTCTTGGTATGAGCTTTTGTGTGCATGCACACTTCTTCAGATACACACCCTTATGTTATTGCTGTATTGCCTGCCCCCTCCAGAAGCAGATACACCCTTATGTTATTGCTGTATTGCCTGCCCCCCTCCAGAAGCAATGGCGCTAGTGTGCACGCACACTTCTTCAGATACTTCTTCAGAGTGTATCTGAAGAAGTGTGCATGCACACGAAAGCTCATACCAAGAACTAACTTAGTTGGTCTTTAAGGTGCTACTGGAAGGAATTTTTTTTGTTTAGAACCTGATACTTATATTACTAGGCAATATGATAGCTGCTAAAAAAAACCGTTTGCTCATGGTTTGGATCAGCAGTGGAATGCAGTGGACCTGTTTAAATATGATGACTCACACAGGAATACTGAACTGATACTTGATGGTTTCTGACTTCCTTTACTTCATGTTTGTAGCAATGTACGAAAAAGTTAGCAAAAAATTAATTTGTATTTTGTTAGAATAAATGTCACAGAATAAGGAAAAGCTGCTCACCAGACCTCCTTCCACCTGTGTTGCTGCTGCATACTGGGAAGGAAAGGCGAGGGGGAGGCATCAGAGAGGTCAGCGCAGTGCAAACACATTGGAAGTAGTGCCTGTGTTACCCTTATGTTATTGCTGTATTGCCTGCCCCCCTCCAGAAGCAATGGCGCTAGAGGGAGGTCAGGTGAGCAAAGCAGCCCCAATGTGCTGGTTTAGTTTCCGCAATGCAATGATCTGCTCCAAGCTTAACCCAACCCTCTGGAGCAGATTTTGAGGGTGCACAGTGGGCTGCAAGAGAGACAGAGGGAGGTGATGTCCTGTTGCACAAGCAGAAGTCTGTTCCACTCATGCACAGAGAGCATTGGATCACAACCCAATGAATGCAAGGTCCTGGCCTGCAGATTGCTTGGATTGTATAATTACTTCTCAAGCCCACACTGGCAATGGCTCAGGTATGAACACAGGCTAAGCTTTCAGTTTGGGATGAAGGAATCTTTAACTGCTTCACCACATGCCCAGCCACTCATCATGAGCAAAATGAATCGTGTGGATTTTAAAACATTGTCCATCAAATGGTAACCAGGGAAGTTGGTGTGTAGAATGCTATCTGGCCTCACATTCTCCATCTGAATACAAAACTCAACGCTGCCCTTGAACATCTGCTGTTATTTTGTTAACTCTCTATACGGTAAGAAACATACACCCCCAAACTGCCTAAATATAAAAACAATATACTAAAGGTGCTTTACCAGAACAAATGGGTAGCTATTGGCACACAGAATATTGACACAGAAAGTGTCGCTGTCAAAGCTGCCTCCTCATTCTTGATATAAATGACCAAGAGTGAAAATAAATAGGTTTCACGGAAAGTGAGCTGTCATAACAATCATTCAGGTATGCAGCATGACAGATGACGCTGTCGCAAGATCACTTTTGCCTCAAAGATGCCGCTGATTTAGACAGGTAAGCAGAAAACCAACCCAAGAACTGTAGGCAAGAGCTGTCACACCTATATGTATACTGATCACATAAATTGCTCCAGGTAAGTGAAAGATTATTCTGCAAGAGTAGTAATGCTTACAGCAACTGCCTCCAGGATTTGTTTGACAGCATCAGCAGCATCTCGTTCACTGTAATATCCTTTTTCCACAATCCTATAAAGAAACAGAAGATTTATTTATTCATAATAAATTTGTATACTGTATAATTTGTATAATATATTTGTATATTTTATGCTAAGGACGTTTAGTGGACGTCCTTAGCATAAACATACAAACCACACAAAACACAGCATAAACATACAAAGCACATAATAAAAGCAAGAACAAAAATGAAACACACCCATAACTCCTCCCCCCCAACACATTTAAAATGACAAAGATTGCAAATCAGCCCAAGGCCTGGCTGAAGAGGAATGTTTTCACTTGGCACGAAATTTCACTTCAGATTCAACGGTTACAAGGAAAGCACAGTCCTAGGTAAATGTGCTATTAAAAATTAATCACACAGTAATCAGAGCAGACACATCTTATAGTCTAGGAAGTCTCCCGCAGAATAAAAAAAACCACTTGCTCATGGCTAAAAATAGATTTACCAAATATACAGCAACTCTGATTCTCAGCTAATAACAAAAAGATTGTTTTTCAAGACATCGGCTTAGGTGCTATGGGAATGAAATGAACTTGTGCTAATAAATGCAGTATCCTTAAAAGGCTACCGTAAAAAAAAAAAATGTTCATACTTATGAACTCCAGAATTAAAGGGCAGATACACAAACTCCATACTCTTAGTCAGGAATAAGCCCTTCTGAGTCCAATGCTATTTATTTCTGACACTGTGTAAAGGACTAAAGTCATGGCTTGCAAGCTTAACCAAGCTGTAATGAAATAAAAGTGATATATAGGAAAAGGCAGGAATAGGTAAGGCCATAATATGCCTTCTATTTTGTGTATATATACACTAGTTTCATCCATTCTGTGATATAGCTTTCAGGTCTAAATGCTGTTCCGTAGTGCCTTCTTTTTACAGATTGGGAATCTCAGTGTTGCCATTGATAACTACTAGGCCACGCAGTTGGCTTCCCAAACAAGGGAACCATGAACCAGGCTCTATGGATATAGCTGAAACTATTCCCATGGTTGTGTTGGCTGGACATGCATATGGCTGAGAGACCAGCCATACTCCTGGCATGTAGGTGGTAACAGTGATTTTATGATTTAGCCTCAAGTAAACCATCTATCCCTAGGGCAGGTGAGGCAACTGCATACTAAGGCGAACAAAGCATCAGGGTTTCCTAGAGGTTGTACAGGGTGCTACTTGCATTCATAACTTTTTAGGAGCTTTTGATTGCACTGCAACTGCTAAAAGTTGCAGCATAGGACCAAGCACTCAAATTGCCATAGCTCCATTGCACAGAAGGTCATTTTAGAGCAGGGGTAGGCAGCCTAAAGCCCGGGGGCCGGATGCAGCCCAATCGCCTTCTCAATCTGGCCCGCGAACAGTCTGGGAATCAGCGTGTTTTTACATGAGCAGAATGTGTACTTTTATTTAAAATGCATCTCTGGGTTACTTGTGGGGCATAGGAATTCATTAATTTTTTCCCCTCCAAAATATAGTCCGGCCCACCACATGGTCTGAGGGACGGTGGTCTGGCCCACGGCTGAAAAAGGTTGCTGACCCCTGTTTTAGAGGAATAATCCTCATACCTTTTACTCTGTGGCAGTTGCAGTAAAATCAATGGATCTACTCCAGAATAAATGATTTGAAGACTGCAGAAATAATCTGTTGTCTCCTGTACAGAAGCAGCATTTTGTTTTCAGGCTGTTCACTGACTGAAGGCTCCGTGAACTAAAATGTGATCACAGCACAGCTCCTTAGAAAAGAAGATTGCTTCCATGCTATAGTAATAACCACAGTACAATGAAAATAATACAGCAAAATAACCTTGAACAATCAATTATTGCAAAGTGCTTCTGAGTTGGAAATAGAAAGAAAGAAAGTTGGTATATTTTGAGGCGCTGAGGCATTCGACAGCTAACCTTTCCCACAGACTCACTTTTATTACTCTATTGATCCGAAAGAGAGGGAAAAAGATTAATCTAGCTCAACTCAGGGGGGGAAATTACCTCAGAAACATTGTTTTGTACAGGGTTTCCAGCTTTAAATTTAAGAAATATTGGCCACCTGAGTCCATGGGGAGAATCAGAGGAGGCCAGAAATGGCGCTTGGCAGGTCAAGGGTATGAGGTCATTGCCTGGTATCATTGCCTGGGCTTTCTCTGATATTTACTGGGTTTTTTAAGATATTGATTCTAGTTACTTCCCAGAACATTGTTTTACTAATAATAATGGATAGTTTGGCAATGCTGCTTCAGCAGTTCATTAGACAACTGAGACACATGTAAGTATATGGGACACAGAAGAAGTACACTATCTTCTCAGAGGCTACACACACCCACACACCACACACAAAAGAACACGTCTAGATCATTTATCAGTGCTCTCACCTTCAATTGTCAGCTCATGCTTTTCTAAGTGCTAAATTATCTGATTTATTGATGTCAAAAAATATCTCAACAATGCAAAAGTTTATGCTATTATTCATTCCCCTACTCCTCAGTTTTAATGAACTAAGAAGGCAAATATAACTTCTCTGTATGTTCAGCAAGGGTTCTCCCTCTCCTTCCACTGAGACCCAACCCCCCCCCAAAAAAAACTTATTTCTTTCTGCTCATATGAAGACCTGGTAATTATCACTTTGCCTTTTAACCGCCTACTCTCAGAATAATTTTTCACGGGGAAACAGACAACTCAGTGGGTTGCATCCAGTGGTGGCTTTGCCTTACACAGGTCAGGGCATTCGATTTTTGCCAATCTGCCATGCCCACTTAAGTCCCCCATCACCCTGGAAACTGGTTCTGAGAACCAGTGGGACACCCCCACAAAAAAATAAACACATAATGGGATATGGCTCAGAGAGCTGCAGTAGGTAAAAGGGAAAGCATGATGTCACAACATGCATGAAAGGAAACATTTCCACTAAGGCAAAATCACATTTGGATTCAATGCAGCATTTTAGATTGCTAAATGACTGGTCCAAAATCACTTAGGACTCAGCTACATTAGTCAAGAAAAACCATTTTATATGCGTTATAACACTATGAAACCAGATGGCGCTGTGGAGTCCCATCTTTCGTCAACGTGATTTTCCTTTATAAAGCTTACAACGCGTTTAACTGAAACGCTTCTTTGATGTGTCTAGATCCAGCCTGGGTTATATGAACTTAAAAAAACAAAAAAAACTGATTTCCCAGGGACAGAAATCAAACATTACGTTTCTGGATCAAATTTTAATAATAAAATACATTATGGTTTAGAGCTGACAGCTATGCGAATCACCACGGAACACACTGAATGACAGCTTTTGCTTTCTTTAAAGTTTTGCAGCTTCCATAGTATTTCAAAATTCCATAGAGGCATCATCTAGAGCTGTGGAGTTTGTTGTTATCAAAACGCCTAGGACACTAAATTTATATTTAATTAACTTAACATCCAGAACAGCTATCTCAGCTTGGAACCAATGTCTGGAAGCAATGGATGTGGTAAGAAGCAAGGAAAAAAGAAAACCCCAGGTGTTTAATCCAAAGAAAATGGAGGTGATGCTGGTGGATAACTTCAAGGATATTGAAGGACTTGTTAGGAGAGATGGTAATAAAGGTAAAGGTACAGGACCCCTGGAAAGTTAAGTCCAGTCAAAGGTGACTACGGCGTTGCAACGCTCATCTCGCTTTCTGGCCGAGGAAGCCGCCATTTGTTCATAGACAGCTTTCCGGGTCATGTGGCCAGCATGACTAAACTGCTTTGGTGCAATGGGACGAGTGCCAGAGCGTACAAAAATGCTGTTTACCTTCCCGCCACAGTGGTACCTATCTATCTACTCGCACTGGCGTGCTTTCAAAATTGCTAGGTTGGCAGGAGCTGTGACAGAGTAACAGGAGCTCACCCCGTAGCAGGGATTCAAACCGCTGACCTTCTGATTGGCAAGCCCAAGAGGTTCAGTGGTTTAGACCACAGTGCCACCACCGTCCCTAGGGGAGATGGTATCCCATATCAGAAACAATGGGGGATGGGGAAACACAAACTCTTGAGAGTCTCATGGACTGCAAGAAGATCAAACCTCTCCATTCTTAAGGAAATCAGCCCTGAGAGCTCACTGGAAGGACAGATCCTGAAGCTGAGGCTCCAATACTTTGGCCACCTCCTGAGAAGAGAAGACTTCCTGGAAAAGACCCTGATGTTGGGAAAGATGGAGGGCCCAAGGAGAAGGGGACGACAGAGGACGAGATGGTTGGACAGTGTTCTCGAAGCTACCAACTTGAGTTTGACCAAACTGTGGGAGGCAGTGGAAGACAGGAGTGCCTGGCGTGCTCTAGTCCATGGGGTCACGAAGAGTCGGACATGACTAAACAACTAAACAACAAATGTGAAGAATTCGGCACTTCACTGAATAAATATTTCTTCTACTCTCCTATTTTAAATTGCTTATATTGTTTCATTTTTCTAACATTGTATAATAGCTAGATGATTGTCTAAAGCAGAGACTGATACACAGATTAAACTTGCTACAAAGCAATGCTTTAAAATTACAGGTATCGTGAGATTTTTTTATTTTATTTTTTGCAGAATGAAACTGTTGAAAAGTTTGTAAAATATTTAAAACAAAATGGGATCTCTTTATTCCGCTAAGAAATCTGACAGCATATGGAAGGCTTTCCCCAGTGCCTGCCATCAGCATTGATGCAGTTCCAGTTTCTTGTTGCCAAGGTATCTTTAGATAGTTACAAAATGATGTGTCTTTGAAAATGAATCCAGTGCGCTAGTTTTGCACTTACTTCAGATTTTTTAGCAAATGTCAGCTAGCTAGCCTTGTAAGAGATCATATTCTGACTTGTCTAGCTGTCATGAAGGAATTGTGCTTGGCAATGGTGCTTTCTCCTGGTTCTGACACTGCCTACACAGCGTGACGCTGTCTCGGGATCCGGCCATATAGCACAGACGAACATGAAATTATGTTGCAGTTATATAACCCCAAAGGCCTGGAAACAGTGTTATGTTTTCTGTATACCTCACCGTCATCATGTGCATAGCAGTTTACA